ATTGCTAAACCCACAAAAACTTTACCTTGGGCACACTCTGACATTGAGTTTCACCAGACTGACCCCTCGTTGAATATAAAATATGCTATAGGTGCAATAAATGATGTCACAGAAGGCGCTCTACCCAAAAATGATAATTTAGAATTACTAATAAAATTAATGATTGAGGAAGTTTGCAAGTATTAGATTTAGGTTACTTCAAGCTCGTACAGGTAAACAAAAGCAACATGTAAGAAAATGAGTTTTATTTCACACTTACAAACACATTTAATAGGAATGAATAAGTCCATTTTGGATATACCCATCAAAATTGATCTTGATGTATGATTTATGAATAACTAATGCATACACCTTGATGTGGAATGGAAATTCAGATTTCCTGGTCTCAAATTCCAAAGATATGTACACAGTTGAAAGTTGGAGATGATCAGGCTGATGGCTGCAATCAATAACGAATAGCGGATTGTCATTAAATTCTTTATTATTCATCATAGGTTCAGGAATGTTCCTGTTGTAGTATGTTCCTTGAAAGATCTCAAATGCATAATAAGCTGCGGTGTTGACCTTTTTTTTGAAGTTCAAGTTCCAACTTTCATATGGGAATACTTGGTTGTTCAACTTCAACCGAATCGAGTTAACGTTGCCATTTATGAATTTCGTTATATACGTTGGAGACAGACAACATCGAATGATTTTCTTCAACAGTAGAATCTTGAAATCCAATAATACCGAATAGAGGTCTCTCTAGCTTACTGATTGTTCTAATTGCCCAAACTTACGATGATGTACAACGAAGAGATGGAAGCTCATAGAGATACCAAGATCAAAATGCTGCAGTTTGGCAAATCCAGCTTGAGCCGCGAGATGCGCAGGAAACAGAGTGAGACGGTGGATGTCTGAGAGAAACGGTAATAGCCGACGGATATAAAAGTACAGTCGACGCGGCAAGTTCAGTTATCGCCGTTCGACTAGAGAAGCAGGCAGAAGAACTGCAACTTCTCCCCCCAGAGCAATTCGGCTTCAGATCCTCCCACAACACGGAACTCCAAGCGCTACGACTGACGGAAAACATCACCAGCGGCTTCAATCTCCAGGAGGCAACCGGTCTCGTCCTGCTGGACGTGGAACGAGCCTTCGACCGAGTTTGGCACGATGGACTCATCGCCAAAATGGAAGCCGCCGGAATCGATGCGAACATGTGCCAACTGATCCAGAGCTATCTAACACAAAGATGGTTCACGGTGAAGATTGGTACATGCCATTCAACAAGACGTCAGCTGGAAGCAGGCGTGCCCCAGGGGTCAGCCTTAGCCCCCCTGCTCTACAACATCTATACTTACGATGTGCCGAAGACAGCTGACACAATGCTGGCCCTATATGCAGACGACACTGCTATAGCCGCCAAGCATAGACGACCCGAGATCATCCGTAGGAGACTACAGGGTGAACTGGACCAAATTCAGGACTGGTGCGTGAAATGGAAAATCCGCATCAACGTCCAGAAGACGCAGGCAATCTTCATTCAACGAAGAAGGATTGCAAGACCTCTCGAAGCATCCATCTTCGATGAAGATATCCAGTGGAGCGACAATGTCAAATATCTGGGGATCGTTTTTGACAAGTCCCTCACCTGGAAAGCGCACATAGAAGCTGTCATCGCAAAAACCAGAGCAGCCATGGCTCAACTCTATCCATTACTGGGTAGACACAGCCAGATGCCGCTAGCGACCAAGCTACGGCTGATCAAGGCCATCGCCAGACCTCAGCTCGCTTACGCCTCCGCGGTCTGGGGGTACGCTGCCCCCAGCTACCGCAAGCGACTTGCTGCTCTAGAGATGAAGCTACTCCGGATCGCCACCAATGCACCTTCCTACGTAAGGAACTCAACCTTGCGTAGAGACCTGCATTGGGATACCATCCACGAGTACATGAGGAAAAAAGCGGAGAAGACCTTCGAGAAAGCTCAGGTCCACCCGAACGAGCAGCTACGATTCCTCATGGACTACGATCCGGACGAGAGGCCTCGCAACCGCAGAACCAGGTACCCCAGACCAAGGTCCCAGTTGGCACCCGCTAACTGGAACCTTGACTAGGAGACTAGGAGAATTTGCGGCTGCTCCCCCCCCCCCCCACGGCGTGGATGCAGAGGACCAGGAACCACCGGGACCAGGACCCACCGGGACCAGGACCAACCAGGACCCGCCACGACCAGGACCCACCAGGACCAGGACCCTTCAGGACCAGGACCAGGAACAACATATTGGTAAGATGACTTGAAACTCTTGATTTTTCGAAAACAAGAGTTTCAAGAGAAACTAGCAGACCCTCTATCGATGATCGCTTAACGACATCGATAGAATGTGCGAGGTAAAGGGAACCAACCCGGCGTTCCCAGAGACTGAAACACATGAGGAGACGTTGTAGCAGACCGCAGGTCACGCACAACACATGGCCTACCGAGACGCTGATGAGTCGGGCCACGCGGAGGTTTAGGGTTTAGTGGGTATTAGGTGATCTCTTCAAGACCCTGGAGCCCCACACACGTCGTAGCTCGTGCTATGGTATGGTGCGTAAATGCATTCCCCCCTCGTTAAAAAAAAAAAAAAAAAAAAAAAAAAAAAAGTTCAGTTACAGCGTGCAAATTTCTGTTATTTCATTTAATTTGATGAAAGGCTACCTATTTTACGATTACAATTCGCCCTTCGTAGACAACCCCTTGACTTCGCTTATCAACTACACTGAGAGAAATTTATAAAAGACATCTGAATTTGGCTTTTCACTAGAACTACACGGAAAAAATCTTGGGACGCAATTCTTTCATTAAGGGATTGATTGATTAGCTAATTGCTTGATGGTCGCAGATACATTGAATCTAGCTGAATAGCAGGAATAACCCTTCATAAAAAACGTGCCTCAGCTCTTCTGAGCCTATTGTTTAGATCTGCTCAGAAAACAGTAAATTGTGTACAAGGATGTTGAAACCCTATATCTTTCATAATGTCCAACAATTTATGAGATATTCCCTGCTATAAGCTTAATTTTTCAAATAAGGAAAGGAATATTGATTCTAACTCAAAAGCATAATACAAAAAAGCTTCAGGTGGGGTTTTTAAACCCTGAAGATTCTGTTATCATTTTCGAAAATAAATGGATCAACAGTTTACTATTCAAACTATCAGCACCTTTCACATATCTCATAGGAATTAATCTGCAGACACTTTTATTTGTCATCATCATCATCCTCAAAGATTGATGTACGTCTTATCAGAATTGGTTTCATATATTATAGAGTCTCTTACTGATTCTACACCCAAAATTCTGCTGTCTTCCTCTTCTCCTTCTGAATCTTCATCTTCAGTTTCCAAAAAATCACTATCCCTGTCAGTTTGATTTAAATTGGTAACGAATTCATCCACAACTCTATCAACCGCGAGCTCGCGTTCTATAAATTCTTTTTCAAGCTTCTTTGTATGCTCGCCTCTAGTTTTCCACTAATCACTCCCAACCGTATAAAAACTCATCGCAGTGTTTTAAAACAGCAGAAAATTTAAAATCGATATTGAGACATGCTACGTGAGATTTCATTGCTGCCCATACGAGTTCTATAGGGTTCAAGTCGGGGTGATAGGGTGGCAATCTTAATACATCGTGTCCAGCATCATGTAGAATTTTATCTATTGCAAACTTCTTATAAGCAGGCTTATGCAATTTTATCAAATTATACAGTTTTGGCTTAAGCATGTCGTACGTATAAAAGATATTTCTGTGTCGAAGCCAGGTCAACATTTCTGCTTTGGTTGTTGAGGAAGTTGGGCTTTTTTCTGTTTGTTTATTATGATACGCTTTTGCGAGGTAGGTTTGGAACTAACTTTTCTTCCAACCACTTTTTATAATTGACAACATTTTTTTCATTATCGTAATCGCCTGTACTACACATATATTTCCATCTCACATACGCCTTAGGTATGAATCCATTTTCACTGCCGGCATGGAGAATAATCAATCTGTCCCCTTTGGATACCGGTTTTTTTATGCCTTCCGTGGAGCCATCTACCCAGGTTTTGCGGTTTGTATGGGAGCGTGTATATATGTCTCGTCAGTATAGATCACTGGACGTCGTTCTTGTCTATATTACTGCATATTCCTCAAGAACATTATACGTAAATGGCAAATTTCTGGTTTTTCCATTAATAGCTTCCTATTGGTCTCAATTTTTTTCCATTTAAACCCTAACTTATGAATTTCTTTACGCAATGTTTCTCTGCTTCTTCAACATTCTACTAGCTCAATCATCTTCCTGTGTACACATTGCAAGGTAGGTACACGTTTTTCGGTTACATGAAAGTTTATTATTGTTCTTGGTAACAATCCTCTGTCGAAACCATCCAGAGCTATCTTAATATTAATATTTCTCCTTTTGTTTGGTGTAGAAAATGAAATTGTGCTGTTCTCTTGTATATTTGACGCTTCATTCTTAATACGTTTGATGGAACTCATACTGTCACCTGTAACTACAGAGACCCATTCTTGTATCTATAATTTGCAATAGCTTTGAATAAAAAAAGACCCATTTTGTACACAGGCTTTGTATGCTGTTCCTCTTGCAGAAAACAGCAAGGATTGCGGACAGGAAGATCATGCACGGATGCAGTTTTTGTAATAAGACAAATAAAAGAAATGTCGCTGGAATACAACAAACCAGCATATATGTGCCTGATAGATTTGAAGAAAGCGTTTGATAGAGTGCGAATTCGGGACACGATACATTTATTATATGACAGTGGATTTAATAACAATAAAAAACCTAAATATAGTCAAAACCTCTCATAAAACAATAACCCTCGCCAAAATTCGAAAATCGAAATTACTTACATGAGTGAGCGCGCGCCGCACGTAATGCTGCCGAAGTGGAGTTCTCACTTTCCTGGTGACTGCTAAAAGGACGGAAGACGACCTCGGGTGCATAACTTGTGTTATCAGTATAGCCTACTGCAGGTACTGAATATCCCAACCGGATTCAATAAAATTCACTAACACTTATCATACAGTCATCAACGTGGCAGCACTGGGTGCTGCCATGCGCCCACCGGAAGGTTAATAAAATTTATGGTAACATTTTTGAATGCATGTCGGCATAAACTTGTGCCTTCAGATAACCCCAAAGCCAAAAGTTCAAAGTTGTTAAATCGCAAGGGCGTGGCGGCGAATTCTGGTCACCAAACCGAGAGATGACTCGACCAGGAGCAAACTCGTGCAAATCTGCCAATGTTTCATAAGCAGTATGGCATGTGGCACCATACTGCTGAAACCATATGTCATTAAGAGCCATGACTTCTAATTGTGGCACAAGAAACTGAGTAATCATTCCACGATAACGTTCACCATTCACTGTTAGTGGATTATCCGCCTCATCCTCAAACGGTCCAATAATTGCTCTAGACCATAGTGCACACCAAAAAGTGACACGTTTTGGATACATTCCAACTAGCAAAGTAGTGCTATAAGTTTTTGGTAAAAGAACAGTAAAGCTGTAAGAGCTCTCTTTTATTGTTGTCCGAACACCGAAATGCTGGGTTAATATTTTCTAAACTGCAATTTGGCTTCCTACAGCACATATGCTTTGAAATGAGGTTTTTACAACGTTCTTGTAACACAGTAATGCAACACCTTATATGATAAATTAGTGACTGTCGCAAAAACATTTATAAAACCATTTTATACAGCATATTTGTTCCATAGTCAAAATAGTTGTATCGTAGCACCCTTTATACCATTTACACAACAAGCCTTAGCCTTGCTGTTTTGGGGTGCTTTAATTGCTGTTGCATAAAGGCTTATGGAACTATTCTATACAGCACATTGGCTCTGTGGTCAAAGTAGTTGTAATGTGATATGCCTTGTAGCAGTTATACAATAAACCTGAGCTTTAGCCGATAAGTTGCTCTTAACGGGAGCGTTTATATAACTGTCGTTTAGTAACCACTAAGGCCGCTTGTCCACGGCACGAATTTGGGCCGGCATGGTAAATTTACCGGACGGTAGAAAATAAGTCTGGCTTTGGTCACGGAGACGTCAGTTTACTGAAGCCTACAGTGAAGTACGTTTGATTTATCAGAATGGACGATGTATGTACTGTCATTGCGTTATATTATTTTTACAAAAAAAGACAGCGAAGGCGTAGAAGATACTGGGTGCAGCCATTCCTGCAAGATAGATTTAAATTTGGAACTTTTAATACATTATTGGAAAAGCTTAGAGAAGACGAAGAAAAGTTTTCCAACTTTTTTCGAATGTCAAGGGAATCGTTTGATAAATTATTAAGGATTCTAAGGAATCATTTGACACATGAAGATACCAATATGAAGAACTGCATTTCTCCCGCTGAAAGACTGGCTGTTACTGTTAGGTGAGTTCTTATTTTACCTTTCACTTCTAGATGATTTTTTAACATTTTTTATTGTATAGGTCCAAAGTGTTAAGTTATTATATTTTCTAGGTCTTTATTAAAAAACCAATTGACAATGTCACAAACAAAATAAAAAAAAATATTCTGTCTACAGGTAATAACACAAATTAACATTGAGCTAATTAAAAAAACCTGTAACGGAAAACCATATTAAGTAGCAAAATCATAAACTGTATCATTGGAACAACTAGATTGTGGGCTAGTATAGGTCTGTGAATACATCTGTTCACAGACCGAAGAATTATTGATGTTCGTTGTCTGTTGCGAATTGTGTGTTGTAGAGTAACTTTGATTATACTGATCTGAATTTCTCCATGAGTCTGTTGTTGATGAAGGACCTGCTGTGGTTTGCAATTCATAACGCGGTGAATGTAATTCATGGAACAAACTTTCGGATTGTTGTGTAAAATGTTGACTACTTTGTTTTTTGCATGTAATATTTTTAATTATTTTCATCACTTCATACTGAAATGTGACGATATCTTCATCAGAAAATGTTTCTACTGTTGGGGCAATACCCCGAAAAAAAGACATCATTCGGGTTTGGTTCTGTTCCAGTGAAGCATCGATAACCTTCCTCATTTTCTCGTCTAGATCATTAGAGCCTACTTTGCTTTTGGATTTTTTTTTTGTGCAAATATTTTTTTCTGCTCGTGGCAGATTTTGCGTTTCGGCTATCGCAATGGCAGCATCAGTTTGGGCATTGAAAGCTTCGGTATTAGACTGGTCTGCAAAATAAAAGTAAAAGTTATAAAAATTCCTAAAGTATATTATAAAACATGTTTTTTACCATCATTTTCGGAAATATTTGAAAAGTCACTCGGTGATCTGCAAGTTTTTGAAGGAATCGTAGCTCTTCGTAAAACAAATATTTGCGTACTTTCTTCGCCCCAGCACCAGATTTTTTCTCCTCGTTTAGTTTTTTATGGCATTTCATCCAATTGTCTCTTATGTTTGCCCATTTTTTCATTACCATTTTCCCTAAAAATGTTTGTTGTTTTAGGTACTTAGCATCCGGAAATACATTCACGGACCTCCATTATAGTTTCAGAATTGGAATAAAAGCAATTAGTAGGATTGTGCGGGAAGTCTGCTCGAATATATGGCTGCTATTACATAAAGAATATATGGCAATTCCAGACGTCAGTACATGGCAGAATATAGCATATGCATTCGAGAAAACGGCAAATTTTCCGAACTGTATAGGGGCCGTTGACAGCAAACACATTAGACTTATCAAACCAGAATACAGTGGGTCGATGTATTTTAACTACAAGGGATATTGTTCAATAGTCCTGATGGTAATAGCTGATTCAAATTATAATTTCATTTACGTAGATGTGGGAGCGTATGGAAAAGACTGCGATTCAAGTGTGTTTAAAGAATCATCGTTCTGGAAAAAACTGCAAGAAAATGCACTAGACATACCAACTCCTAGGCAGCTTTCAAATACCGATGTACAGGCTCCTTATGTACTAGTAGGCGATGAAGCTTTTGCATTGCATATGAATTTACTTCGTCCTTATGGTGGTCGAGAACTAGACCAAAACAAGCGAATTTTTAATTACCCTTTAAGCAGAGCAAGACGTTTTATCGAATGTTCGTTTGGAATAATGACTAATAAATGGAGGATTTTTCACCGCCCATTGAATGTATCCATTGATCTTGCAACTGATATCGTTAAAGCATGTTGCATTCTCAAAAAATTTATTCGCAAAGAAGAAGGCCTAAATAGAAATATAGCAGATACGGCAATGGATATAGATTCTGAACTAAACGAACTCACACGCTCAAAATCGGTACGAGGCAGTTTGTCAGCGAATGATACTAGAACGAAGTTCGCTAGCTACTTTGTTTCCGAAGCTGGACAAATTCCTTGGAAAAATAAATTTGCTTAATTATTATTATTTGAGTACTGTATAATGTATAATACAAAAATAAAAACGTTATAAAAATCACATACCAATGTCGTTTCTATCTTTATCTGGTAGAGAGTCAAAATCTTCTTTCATTTGCCTGCATACTTCCTCCCAACTTTCCAAAGTCAATCGTTTGTCTTTATATTCATCTACAGTTTTATCCCATAAGACTGGCCTTTCCTGGACTAGAGTTATAAGTAGCTCAGAGTCAATATTTACTTCTTAGCTCATTTTATCACGCACGGCACCACTCTCCTCAAGCATCGAAATATAACTGACTATGTTATCGCATTATCGGGTAGCACGCCGCTGCCCGCTGATCGACCACACGGTGAATCTGACGGTTTGTTTACAAACCTACACGTTGATACATGTCTAACTGCATCACGGCGCGCCGTCCGGCTGCCGTCTCTACAGTGGGAATCCGGTAGTGCAAACGGTACTGTATCCGGCGAAAAAAACGTGCCGGCTCGTGGACACACATGAATATAATATAATGTATAACCACCTATCCGGCAAGTTCACCGGAACAGCGAACGGCGAATATTCTGATCGTGGACAAGCGGCCTTAAGGCAACAACATTGCACCTTTTATTGTACATAATTGCTGTAGCTGAGATAAAATTGATGCTCAATATAGCGGGTATACAACGTCATCAGAACTTAATATGTTGTTTACTTATTTTGAGGTCAAGTCGATGCCTAAAAATTTGTGAAAACTTCAAAATGTCAGACTTTAATACGTGGAAGAAACTGAAAAGAAGTGGCGCATTCCGCAGAAAAATCATGCGCAATTACAAAAACATACTACAAACAATTACGACTAGTAATTCCAATCCCAATAACAAGATAAGTTGTTACCGATCAATCCTCAACAATAGAGAACCTGCATTTGACAGCAATGCACTGGAAGGTGAAGAAGATGAAAAAATCAACACTGCTAAGGAATCAGAAGACGAATCAGCAGAACCACAAATAGATAACTGGCTTGAGGAATTAGAACCTACTGAAGAAAGATTTATAGCTGATACAAAAAAGGACGCAGAGTTTCGCAGAAGTCTTAGAACCTGGGCGGTGTCTTTTAATATCCCTCACTCTGTATTGAAAGCATTATTTAAACACATAAATGATAGAACACCGAATATCCTTCCTCAGGACCCTAGAACTGTTCTCAAAACTTGCCAAGCAGTTATAGTGACAAAAATTGGAAATGGATACTACTGGCATCATGGACTTGAGTCTGGATTAAGGCAGATCCTGTGTTCGCTTTCAAAGTTACCCAGACTAGTTTCTTTAAATGTCGACATGGATGGATTACCCATTTTTAACAGTAGCAAAATGGAGTTTTGGCCAATACTCAATTACCAGAAGTGAAGCCCATGGTTGTAGGAATATACTGTGGATCAGGAAAACCACCTGATATGACCGCATACTTAAGCCCTTTTGTTGAAGAAGCTAAAATTATTCTTTCGGAAGGGATATTAATAAATGGAGTCAAAATAATTGTCAATATAAGGTGTTTCATATGTGACTCTCCTGCTAGAGCATTTATCAAAGGTACCGCGACTTCTAGGCTCACTGTTTTCAATGTTCATTCATTAATCTACTATTTCAGGTGTATCAAACTTTAATAGCAAACACGGATGCTTGAAGTGCACAACTGTGGGAGAATATTCACACATCTCGCATACTGTATTTTTTCCCAATGCAGACTGTGAGAAAAGGACAAACAAAAGATTTCGAGCTAAAATATATGGTTCTCATCATAAGCAAGACACTGTACTAAAGTCTTTACCAGTTGATATGATCGAGGATTTTCCAGTAGCAGATTCTTTGCATTTAATTGACTTGGGAATCATGAAAAAGTGTTTGATTGGATGGAGAGATGGTAGCGTGGGCAGTTTCAGAACAAAATGTTGTGCTAGAGATATTGAATTAGTTTTTTTTATATATATCGAAACAGCAGAAGCCTAAATGCCGGAACACCGCGGCTGCTATGATGATCCCAAAGAAATTTTGTTAATACGATTTTTGAACTGCCTAAGGTTAGTAGAACTGGGAAAAGCTTCCTCCCGTAGATTGTTCCACAATCTAGACACCCTCGGAACAAAGGAGCGGTCGTATCGGCCAGTTCTGGATGTACAAAGTTTGACACGGTTAGGATGGGACGCCGAAGTCAGGCGGGTCTGTCTGGCAGGCACATCGCGCGGCGGCATCATGGAAGAGAGCTCTGAGGAGCAAAGCCCGTTGGTGTAGCGATAGAAAAGAGCTAGATCGCCGACGGCCCGCCGGTGCGAAAGAGTCCCGAGACTGTCTGTTAGAGAAGAGTCATCGATCAGTCGGACCGCCCTCCTCTGGACAGCATCGAGCATGGACAATGTAGTCGGGGCGGCAGCACCCCAAATGTGTGAGCAATACTCGAGGCTAGGTCTTATCTGGGCCTTGTATAGAGTGAGAAGGTCATGCGGAGAAAAGTACTTCTTAGCCCTAAACAAATAGCCTAGCTTTTTCCCAGCAGCTGCAGCTATTGAAGAGATGTGTTTGTGCCAGATCAGGTCCTCGGTGATCTGGACTCCGACCAGCCGAAATGAATGGCTCTTTGGTAGAACTCGACCGTCCATCGAAACTGTATGAGCGCTAGGACGCTTTTTGTTCGTCAAAGTACAGTACTGTGTTTTGGAAGCATTGAACTGTACAAGATTGTTGCGTCCCCAAGCAGTGATAGCCGCCAGGTCTCTTGTCAGAGAAAAAGTCGTCGCAAGTCTTCTTTTTTCCATCTCAGCGGCAGATATCAGCTTGTCACTCTGAATTCCTGCATGTAGAGTGCTGTCATCAGCGAAGCTGTGGATTGGGTTGATCGTGCAGGAAAGTAGGTCGTTGATATGTAAGAGAAACAGTGTTGGAGCCAAGACCGATCCCTGGGGAACACCCGCCTTGACGTTGTGGGATGAAGAGGAGATTCCGTCAATTACGACGGATATCTTGCGGCCAGAGATAAAGTCAGCCACCCATCTACAAAGCTTTTCTGGGAGGCCATAAGATGGAAGTTTGCTTAAGAGGGCAGCGTGCCACAGCTGATCGAACGCTTTCGTGATGTCAAGAGCAACGACATGAGCCTCACCATGAGACTGGATGAGTTTACTCCACAATTGCGTGACGTAAGCTAGGAGGTCCCCTGTGGATCGTTGGTGCCGGAAACCGTACTGCCTGTCGCTAATCAAGCTGTGACGTTCGAGGTAGTCCAGAAGCTCGCGATTTATGCACCTCTCCATCACTTTACTTATAACAGAAAGCAGAGCTATAGGCCTGTAGTTGTAAGGGTCGGTCTAAGATCCTTTTTTTGGGATGGGCTGTACATGAGCAAATTTCCGGTTTTCTGGGAAGGTGCCGGATTCATAAGATATCTGGAAGAGACGCGAAAGAACTGGAGCAAGCTCCGCTGCACATCTCTTCAGTACAATGGCAGGAATCAAGTCCGGACCAGAAGCTTTGTTGATGTCGAGCGACAAGAGCACTCGTCTTACGGTCTTATGCCTGAATGTTACCTCCCGCATAGTGTGGGGAACCCTTTGAATTGACGGCACTTGGGCGTTGGTGGGGACGTCCATGGTGGAGTTGGCAGCAAAGATCTTGGCTAACACTTCCGCCTTGGCCTTTGAGTCGAATACAATAGTTCCATCCTGACACGTAAGTGGTGGAAGGCTACTGTGTGAGAAGTTCTTTTCAATCTGCTTGGCCAGCGTCCAGAAAGATCGACTGCCATTGCGCTGCGACATTACTCTGTGCCTAACTTTTATATCATGCTGGTTTTTGGCATTGCGAACCGCTTCGTTATATTTGTTTCTGGACTCGACGTCGGCTTGTCTGTTCTCTACGGTGGGGTTTTGTAAGTAGGTTCTGTGGGCCTTGATCTTCTGCTGGCGAGCAGTGTCACACGATTTGTTGAACCAGCCGTTGGGCCCTGGTTTAGGAACTTTCACTGTGTGAGGGATGTATTCCTCCATTCCGACGTGGATAATTTCGGTTATTGAAGAACAAACAGTCGACGCATCCGCGTCAGTGAAACAGACATCTCTCCAAGGAAAGCTAGAGAAGAAGTCTCTGAGCCCCTCCCAGTCGGCATGTCCGTAATGCCAAGTTTTGCGGCCTGTGCGAGTTTCTGCTGCCACAGCGGCTTCTGACCGAAACCTAACCCCCACAACACCGTGATCTGAGTTACCCAGGGGGGACAGGATAGCAGTGCTGTAAGGGGCAGGATGCGTGGTCAGAAAGAGATCCAGCAGGCTACTGGCGTGTGACGAGACGCGGGGGAAAAAAGTAGGGCTCGTCACCAGCTGGGTCAGCCCTTGAGTAAGAGCGAACGCTTCGACTGCATGACCTGCTGCATCGGTCTTGTTTGAGCCCAACCAAAGCTCATTATGGGCATTGAAATCACCGAGAAGAACTACCTCTGAAGCGGGGTGATTGATGTTCAGGAAGTCGATCTGGACGGCGAGGTATTCGAGTAGGTCATCCCAGTTATTGTTCGAGGGAGAGCGATAAAGGCAGCAAATAAATTTGGGTGATGTTTTGGAGTTGAGGCGAAGCCACAGAATGTCCTTCCGGTCTGATTCCAAAGAAAGATCCCTGGAGCAGGAAAGACTGCTGCGGACAAAAGCCACAACTCCCCCGTTCTTTCTCAGATTGGAGTGCACCTCCTGGGAAATTGAGATGGTTAATCGGTGCAGTCTCTGAGATTTTTGTCTCCCCAAGAAAAGCACGGCGGGACGATTGGATTGCAGGTAGTGATGAACAGCATCAATGTTGCTGTTGATCCCGCAGATGTTTGAAAAACAAATTTTATCTTCGATGTTGTTCCCTCGAGCCCACCCTCCACCCGGACATTCCGAGAGTGGAGTGAGTTTACGTCCGGAGTTTTTAGTGCTCGAGGGATCCATCATCATTAATTTCTTTGTTTTGGTTGATAACCGACTGCATAGCTAAGGTGTGGAAACATGCGGACATTTATAAGACACCCTGGGAAAAGCTAGCGGATGGTACTGCCTCGGTCGACTGGTCCTTGTCTACCACCTTCTTTTTACGTGTTAGTGATGTTAAATAGACCTAAAGTGGCCCGTTAGCGGACTACTTGTACCGCCACCCGGCAGTCGGTACTGAGGTATTCCTCAACGCGTGCACAATCACTTGGACGGGAAGAAGTTGTATACTGGATACAACAACTTCCGGAACAAGCATTTGCCACGGCCCTCGGTCAGTAGGGGCTGCATCATTTCTGCAACACTGCAAATTGCCTAAAGAAATACATAGATCAGTGAGAGGACTTGACGGTTTATGTCACTGGAAAGCTTCGGAATATCGTACCTTTTTGTATTATTTAGGAATAGTAATACTCCTGCCTTCTGGTGTGTATGTGCATTTCCTCAATTTTTTTTGTGCAATAACAATATGTTCTTCAGACATCTATGAAAATTTCCTTGATCTAGCAGAAACTTTGCTAAACAGTTATGTTGAATACTATCGCGATATTTATGGAGAAGATTATATAACTAGTAATGTTCATAATCTCACA